TATCTATATCTATATCTATATCAATCTATATGTATATCTATATCAATCTATATCTATATCTATATCTATATCAATCTATATGTATATCTATATCAATCTATATCTATATGTTATTCGATATTCTATATCTATATGTTAGTGTTTATATGGATCAGAACAGTAGAAATTAGCTAGAGATAAATTTCAATCTAGAAATGTTAAGGTACTGTATATAAGGTATAGCCCTTTTCATCTGTGACTTTTTTACCGAAAATTTTAATATTTTCGACCAGAGTGCTGTGTGTCCTTTTTTGAAGTTTTACGAAGCCATTTCCTGTAATGTCATGAGATTGCATACAGAATGTCTAACCACAAATTAGTATGTCTGCAACATTAATGAAAAAATTGGGATTGTTTAATATTAGAACTGTAAAGCAATGTGCATGATATCAGAGCAAAATCTGCTGACTTCATTCTGCCAGACAGTTTTACTGCTACCTGAAGCACACGGACTCGGGGGCACCGCTGACAGTGAGCGGCTTGAAGGGGGTCACCTCGGGCTTCTCACTCACACGCTGTCCTGATAAGCAGGGAGAGGGTAAGCAATGAGGAAGACAGGGCATGTTCTACTAAATTAACATCAAATATAATTCATGGGCCATGGAACCGGAGGAGAGGAATCTGGTGACTCATCTGTATCAGGGTAGTAATGATCAGTCACAAAAAAAACAAATAATTTACTGAAAATCGATAAAACTTTATGAATAAAAGTCAGAATTATATCCATGCTTTTAAATCAAAAGGTTATTTCTGACAGACAATCGGACATAATTTTATGCCCCCCATCCTTATGGCACTCCTCTTATTTAGACACGTTCCGTGGTCCATGGTATAATTGATACTTAAAGGTTAAAATAAAAGTATGAAATAATATGGCCTGCCATGTTTTGGCAGTCTGCCTCTCTACAGTCTACAAGGATGTGGACTTCCCTGGAGAGGATTACCTGAGCCTGTTCACCGACAGCTATGCGGAGTGTCAGAAGGCGTGTACGATGGACTCAGCGTGCCAGTTCTTCACCTACACCACAGATAATTTTTCTCCCGCTAAGTACCGGTGAGTTGGAGTGGGTAAGGCCCTACCGGACCAGCTCTTTGACTTTCAATGGAGATTACCTGAGGCTGGACTGGAACCTTCTGGTAACTCTCTACCTTTGGTGAGCTGGCGAATCTGACTACAGCTGGACATTACTAATATTGCAGAGGTGCATTGTTTTTTAAAATGACTGTTTTTTTTGGATATGAAATACATTGCAAATTTTCCGAATACCTTATATATTTGTGTTGCTTATGACCCTAAAGGGAGGGGTGGATTAACTTCTCTGGGGGCCCTAGGGTGACATCACTAGGGGGCTCAAAGCAGGCTACTCGTGCTGTTTTATGGAGCTGAAAGTATATAAAATGATTCACTGTCAAGAATCAATAATCAGCATGTGAGGCAGTAAACCTTAAGGCAGGGGTGGCCAATCTTATCCGCAAAGGGCCGCTGTGTATGCGGGTTTTCTCTGCAACTCCCTAATTAGATCACTAATTAGAGGACTGATTGGCTGAAGAGTCCTCATACCTGGGTTTGAACAGCTGACCTACAGGTTATCCCAAAAACCTGCATACACACCGGCCCTTTGCAGATAAGATTGGCCACCCCTGGCTTAAGGTGTCGCAGAGGTGTATTGACCGGCCAGATTTCATCATTTTAGCTGTTTATTTTGCCCTTGTGGGGCCAGCTGGCCCTTGATTAGTATATACATTAATCCACCCCTGCCTAAAAGCCTCTGCTTTTTACTGTTTCATTTAAACCCCTCCCTGCAGAAATAAGTGCCATTTAAAGTATAGCAGGACACTCCCAACGCCACCTGTGGTCAAAGCGGGGAAGGACATGGTGTCCGGCTTCTCTCGAAAACTCTGCAGCCTGTTTAGCATTGACAGAGGTAACTCAGACATCCATAGTGACATATACATGGTGACAAGTGTAATAATGTGGCACTAGGAAAGCAAACACACACACACACACATCTACAGTTGTGAGCGACAACTAAAGTAAACCTATATACACACCTTGCATTATATAAAATTCAAATCCACACACATACATACTTTCTGTGATCTTGCAGATGTCAATAGTATGTTGCTAGATTATTTGTTTTTCTGGTGTGTAAACAGAGTGCAGGTCAAAGATCCTGAGGGATATCGACTTTCCCGGAAGTGACATTGAGCAAGTTCCGGCCCCCTCGCCCGAGCACTGCCAGGTCCTGTGCAGGGCCCACCCTCGATGCACCTTCTTCTCGTTCACCACCGCCAGCTACGAGGCCTCTGAGAAGTATGTGTGCCACAGCGCAGAGAGAGGTGCAGGTCACTATTAGAGTGCGCTACACTATTGAGGGAAACAGGACACACATCAAGGGCGTAGGTTTGGTTTCCACACTGATAGGGACTAAATCAGCCTGGAACCCCCCCGCCCCCCTAAACATTCACAGTACTTAAACAGTATTGGGAAGGACATGGCCCTACCAACCACACCCAAATCCACATCCATGCCACACATTGTCAGTTGACCAGCAGATGAGATTAATTGCAAACAGGAGCTTAAACATCCATCCATCCATCTATCTTCTATAACAGATTGTCCAGTATAGGTTAACAGTTAACAGATTAACAATTAATGGTAAAATAAATTGATTTGTTTAGCAGATGCCTTTTTGATCTCTGTTGTAATACATATGTAATACATAACTTTGATATTGTTCTATTAGTGAAATGTTTCCTTTGGCAATTCTGGTTCCCTTTAGGGAAACTAAATCTGACACATGTTCAGATTAACATCTGCCTCAGATCTTAAACCCAGATATTTTTTGTCCTCAGTTCCTTTGCTCATAGAGAGTTTATGATGGACAATCTTGTAAATATGAATATGATTATATAGTTATAAATAGTAGTATATAATGCATATCTTGTGTTTTAGGTATAAATTGCTTTGCTTTTTGAAGCATAATGTTGAGGAGCGATCTTCTACACGCAAAGATAATGTGATGTCTGGGATTCCAGCCCGTTTCTGTAAGCCTTCAAATGGTAAGTACTGTGCAGTGAGGTCACTTCCTGTTGGCCATGTCACATGACTATAACACTGTCATGTTCCCTCCCAGCCTGTGCAACACTTACGTACGAGAACATAGACTTTATGGGGGCTGACAAGAAGGTTGTGAAGCTGGACAGTCCTGCGACGTGTGAAGAGGCTTGCACAGCTGACCCAGACTGTCAGTTCTACACCTTTGTGTACAATACCATCACTGCCAGGTCAGTGCCAGCTTAGTGAGTATAACTAGCACTTCTCTGCATAAGAATATTTATTACTAGTCTGTATTTACCAGAAAATCAGGCAAAGATAATCACTCACACACAGAATCAACAAGATGGACAGTGTCCAATGCTTTCAGGAAGAATAGATATGGACAGAAGCATTAACATCGGCTTGAGAATGTTTTTGCTCGATTTTGTACATCTCTGCAGCCCAAAGTGCTTCCTGAAGCAGGTCATTACAGCTCCTTTGCCGCCAAAAATAGCCCTTAAGAAGGATGTGGTGTCTGGATTCCACCTGAGGAGCTGCAAATTGACAGACAGAGGAACTGTAAAATGGCCGACAGAGGAAATAGCAGGTGAGGGCCGGGGATAATTCTTCATGCCAATGTCTTACTGAAGAATATTAAGAAGCTGGTTGTAACCAGGAACTTACGCTGCGTTGCATTTGAACTTGAAAGTTGGAAATTCCAAGTTCCTAGCCGCAAATTTAAACTAGAGCAGGGGTGGGCAATCTTATCCAGAAAGGGTCGCTGTGTTTGCAGTTTTTTGCTGCAACTCCCTAATTTGATTACTAATTAGAGGGCTGATTGGCTGAAGAGTCGTCACACCTGAGTTTGAACAGCTGACCTAAAGGTTATCCCAAACACCTGCATACACACTGGCCCTTTGCGGATAAGATTGCCCACCCCTGAACTAGAATGTCCTCAGAAGTCAGAATTACAACTCGGAAAGTCGGAGAAATCTCTTCAACCCCAACATCAGAATTCAAGATGGCTCTGCCCTTTATCAACAGAAGTGAACACTGTATACAGTTATATACTGTTTATTAACATTTATGTTTTATTTGTGTCTCATTAAATGTGTTGTACACACAGTACTGTCCAATCACTATCTGTGGATATGTTGCTAGGGTGTTTGTATGCGCAAATTAACATGTAATGTATTTAGGGTGACCAGATAATCCATGTCAGGGAGACACTTTGAGCTACTTCGGGTTTTACAAACTACTTTAAAACTGAAAGGCTCCTGTGCTCGGCTAAATAGTTCAGTTCTTCTTGTACTCTAATTGGTTTGTTTCCTTGAAAGACTCATCCAGCTGTTTCACATTAGCATTAGTGACACATGCATGATTATAGGAGACTGACCAATCAGCACACAGCAAGAACTCAGTGCTCAAGTGAAATCCAGGTCCTTTTATTTGAAATGGTAATTTACAATTTCTGTCCTAGCTCAGAGTGTCCTCCCTGACATGGATTTTCTGGTCACCCTAAATGTGTTGTTATCAACTGATATTGCTAACAATGGCTAATGGTGAACCTGGTTTGAACTGTGACCTGTTTCAGAAAGCAGGATTTCTTGTTTAGCCAGATAACTTGTTGGATTTAAGGTAGTTTGGTCTAAAAGTAAGTGAACAAAGATAAAGTCCATGTAAACTGGGATACCTTAAGTCCAACAAGTTTTCTGGCTAAGCAAGAAATCCAGCTGTTTGAAACATGTCCCTGGTATCGCTATATGGCTTTCCGACTTCCGACTTTTGATTAACTTGGGTGTGACATCATTCCCCGCTCTGACTTCATTATACTCGTAAAGTACCATTAAAAAGTTCTGTATAATCCACGTGTCGTAGCTGCAGTGTGTCTGGCTCCCCTCAGCTTGTCCTCACAGTTATCGGGTTGCTGCTCAGGGTCTGTTGAAGGTCCCAAGTGTGGCTTGGTTCGGAACAGCAAGGAGAAGGTCCTGGGGGGTCGTGACGCGGCCCCCGGCGCCTGGCCTTGGCAAGTCTCCCTGCAGCTGAAGCACGGATCAGGTAGAAGCCACATCTGCGGAGGGTCCATCCTCAGCCTGCGCTGGATCGTCACCGCTGCTCATTGTCTGGAAAGGTAAGATTCACCCATCCCCAACACCTCTGCCACAAACAGATGCCAGAAGCATTGTATGATGCTCATATGTCACTGCTCGGATGATACAAAAAATAATCTCAGTATTCCTTTTACTTTAACTGGCTCACTGATGGACTCTGACTATGACCACAGTGTGCACCTTACGTTACTTAAAAGGGCCCTGCTATGCTTTTCTGTTTTTTCCCGATCCTTTAGTGTGTTATATAGCTCTATGTGTTAGCGGTCCGCAAAGTCTTAAGGCCCAAAGTACATGCCACAGGAAGTAACTCGCACCACGGAAACCACTCTTCTCTAATCTGCCTGAAATGCCTCATTGGAATTCCATCCCTTACTTCCGTTACATGGTGAGGTCACCTCGTACCACAATCCTTATTGGCTGTGTAAGGAAAAGTAGTAAAGATGTCCCAATGTTCTTGGTTGATCATTTGGATACAGACAGTGTTAGCTATTAATGATCAAGGGGGAATGATCAAAGGGGAAGCCAGGGAGAGAATGGGGGATCCAGTCGGCACCACTAGGGTGATAAGGAAGATGATTGAATTACAATGATCAGAAAGTCTCCCTCCTGTCCTGCCCCATCCCTGCCCCAGGCTCCTCAAAGTCCAAGGGGTCACTCTTTATATGTAGATTCACTCACAACACCTACACACAGCACCTTGTTGGGGAGAGTCTTTTGGGGTATAAAGGGGGGTGGAGAACTGTCTTTAATTTGTATTTGAGCTGCCTTTCAATACCCAGTGTATGTCTACACTGTATTACATTATATTATTTTTTACTGTTCAATAAACCACCGTTTTGCTGAAACTGTGGAGACTCTGCAAGTGGATTCTTTACAGCTGCCTACCTGCAAGGATCTGTCTGTAGATGACAAGGCAGGGGCGGAGCGTGTAGGACAAGCTGACCAATCGGAGCACATTGGGCTCTTCGGGGTGGCGCCGCATTTCAGACAGAGAGTGAATAGAGATGTACAGTATGTGAAAAAATAATGCGTGTTTGGAACATTGAAGCATGTACATATAGTTTACTAGAGCACAAAGAAAATGATGAACATTGAAAATAGCATGATATGGCCCCTTTAAAACTCCCTTTCCTTGTGTTTTATAATGTTAGCCCAGGGGGGGGTTGGGCAGAAAATCGAGCTTAGACCCCCCGAGGCTTTTTTCTCCCTGTTTGAGAGTTTTTTGTTCCTCTTCTCCGCTGTCTTCTGGCTTTCTTTCCCTCTCCCCTTTTCAGTTTCATGCTCCATCCATCCACCCATCCATCCATCCATCCATCCATTTTCTGTCACTTATCCGGGGTCGGGTTGTGGGGGCAGCAGTCTAAGCAGGGAAGCCCAGACCTCCCTCTCACCAGCCACCTCCTCCAGCTCCTCCGTGGGGGGGGAGGGGGGGTTCCAAGTTGTTCCCAGGCCAGCCGGGAGACATAATCTCTCCAGTGTGTCTTGATTGTGCCGCCTCACACTCAGCCACAAACTGCCCCAGTGCCTGCTGCAGGTCACCGGCCAACAACGCCAACAGGACCTCATCATATGCAGAAAGCAATGACACGATCCTGAGGCCGGACCCCCTCCACCCTTGGCTACATCTAGAAATTATGTCCATAAAATTATGAACAGAATCGGTGGCAAAGGACAGTGAGTTAAAGATCTCCTGGACAGGGGCCTCTGCCAGATGCCCCCAGAAATACCCTTATTATACGTTTGTGTACCAGGTCTATCCAGCATCTTCCCCCGCTGTCACATCCACTCACCAGCTGGTGATCAGTTGACAGCTCAGCTCCTCTCTTCACCCGAGTGTCCAAAACATGTGGACGCAGATCCGACGATAGATTTAATACATTAGTCAAGTGCTTTGGGGCAACTGTGTGATGAATGGTGCTATTGAAAAACAAATGGAGTTTATTATTATATATCCTAGCATGTTTGAACTGATCTTGTTAACATAAACTTGCTTGTTAACCTGGTGCCCTATGTTCCCACCTAATCTGGTTTGGTTTTCTACTGCAGGACTAATGCATCAGACTACAGAATATCAGCTGGAGTGGTGAAATTGTCAGAGGCAGCACAGTTTCACGAGGTGGAATTCATGATGAAGCACCCTGATTTTAATGAGGCCACCTTTGAAAATGACGTTGCCCTCGTCAGACTGAAGACGCCCCTTAAATACACTGGTATGAGACAGTGGCCATGTGAGCAGTGTGTCTCTCTGCT